CTATCACTGCCGTCATAATCCGGATATTAAGAGGCACTGAGCCAATCAACCTTGTTTGAAACTTTTGCTCCTTCAGAAGCCCTATAGAAAATGAATATCCCACGGAAATTTACTTCCATCTGGTATCCTCTGTTGCAGCTTATCCCTTGAATTGTTTATACTTGGGAGTTATTCCGCCTCTGCCTTCATTTATACAGGATATGTTAGAAGGGTCAGTTTTGTCCTTGACTGAATGCAGTGGTTTCCAAGTTGTCAGATGTTTATATTTGAACCCAACTCGTAGGATTCGAAATGTGTCTCATCCTCTTTATGATTATCCACATGCGCTTGTGCAGCTAGGAAGTTGGCTTTTGCGCACTGAAATCGCCTCGTGGGCGTAGCCTCTGGGAGAAACACCGCGGGCAGACAGGCTGTGTGAATAAATTTTATTGCACCGATTCTCTTCTGCTCCTGTTTCTGGTCTTTACATCCAAACTACACTATCACCACAAGTTTAATACACCATGGAGTACTAAGGAAGCTAGACAGACATCGATTGTATGTACATATGAGCGACGAACAAACAGACATTGGGCGAGGTCTGTCATGGATGTTTGTGCGATTATCATTCTCCCCTCTTGTTTGCCTATTCTGTTGCTGTCCTCCCCGTGTGCACAGATTGCATTAATGGACACACATTTACGAACAGTCGTGTGCTTCTGGTTCTCATCCTCTGCTCACACTCGTCCACTCAGGGGTCATATTCTCTCCTTTTCATCTCACCCCCTCCTTCGCTTTGGGTAAGCGCTATAGGCCTCATTCACCTAGGCTGCGCCCAGTTCCCTACTCTGTTCTCTTTGGCGTAGTGGCCTGCCAACATCGATTTTTCTGTCCGTATACGTTTGTTTGCGTGAAGGCAATAAGACCGCGGATTTAGTATGGTCCGACTTAAGCTCCCGGTTTTCCCCTTTTCCCCTACCAATTAAATGTTCCGAAACATCTCACATCGCGAGATCACCATCGTTTATGGTTATTCACCCAACCGCTTACCTTCTGCCCAAACTTTGCCAAGATTCATCGTCGTGATATTGTGTGACGTGTACGCGTTCCTCCACATTCTGCCATGCATGTTGAGTCTATTTTTAGCTTCAAACTCGATTGGGACTACAGCGTGCATCACATGATCATGCTGTTTGCCGCTCACATCTTATCCGGAAATCGCGAAATTCTTTCGGTTTTCCGGGCCAACGGTTTACTAGTGGGTACACATACTTAGCTGGTTGATACTAACGACAGCGTGTAAAACTTAGTTCTCTCATTATTTGTACTGAATTCAGATTTTACACAATATATTAAAGTACTAGGTTTTCCTTCACTCCAAAAACGATTAAGCTGCAAGCTGCCGTCGTACCACAGACTGCCTTTTTTTTTCTGCGTATTTCTCGCAGAGGTTGCTTATTGCATTATGTGTATTTGCTTGTTTCATTACTAACAATGTTACATTATCTGGTCAAGCGGTCTGTTAACAGTTGAAATATTTCGAAATCCCCCGATGGTAATCAAACTTATCGGTACCACATGAATAAATTTTCTCGCAGAATAAATTCAGCCAGATAATGCATTGCAATTATCGACATCAAATTCTTCTGGTTTAATGAAGATGTGTTTAAATTGTCTTATTTTGCAGATAAACTTCGAAAACCTTCAGTCGTACCGGTAGTCTTGTCTACAATTCTTAGTTTACTGTGCTGCAAACTACTCGTTCGGCACCGGTGGTCAACCTTCTCACATACCTAAGACAGTCTGGTTCATGTGGTCATTGATTCATACCTGTGATACAGGTATATGTTTTGATCAGTTAATCATGGTATTAACTTCCTGCAATCATTTTAGCCACTTAGGAATTCGTGACCCAGTGTGCTCCATAGTAGTGCAGATCTGTCGGTTTAATGTACCGTTACAGATCAGAAAAAGATAGTGAAATCAATAACAACCACAGAATGTTTTCACGTGGTATGCACGCCACAAGGAAGTTCAAATTAGAATACCTTAAAACAGTTTTAGCACATGTATGATGTAAATACTGTTTGATCATGCTAATAAGCTACTTACATCCGTGTTATGATCACCTTAGTCGCTTGCTTCTAATGAAAAAACTGGGTATTATGTTTGACTGTGCTTTTCGGGCTTATCCTTGGGCTAATCGGGGATATTTGTGCCGAAGTCCATCTAATTAACATATGTGGGTGCTATTTTAGCGAGTTAGAAGTACGATATGCCCCACGGTACTTAGAATATTCCCCCGAAGGTTATCTGCTGTTTTACCATTGAACCGAACCGGTAATCTTTAGGCGTTTTCATTGATCCGGCACGAATACCATGCACGGACTTTAGGACAGCAACAAACGTACGAGGCGATCAATAGCTACACGGCCGGGACTGAACGACTATAGGGTCCTCGCACCAATGTGTGTGCGTGTGTTTGATTTGGATTGGACGATCCCATAAACGTATCATTCACTTGGGCATTTTGCCATGCGTGTTGTTTGCGGTCAGTGTGTTTTGAGTGTATAGTGGAGTGTTTGATTGCAAATTTGTCGGGTTACGTCCTGCGAATTAGGAAAGACAAGTATTCTCTAGGATACAGTTCTAAAGGTTTTACTTTTTAGATAGAAGTTCGACGGTAAAACCACTTTAGGCTTTAAGGGAGTGCATTACTACTAGTGTTCCGGATCGATGCAATCATGTTTAAGTGTATACCTATGGGAATATTGGCATCATGAGACCCTCGATATAATGTATAACAATAGTGATAGTTCAAGTTTTGTTGGCTCTCAGTCGTTGTTGATCCGTCTGGAATATTTCTTACGGTGTAATGCAGTGTTCTGGGAAAAGTGTTTCCTGATGTAGGTAGTCGAATGGTTTGTTTCTTTAGAAAAACAAGGAGTTTTTCCGCTAGCTCGGGGTTGTAAAGCAATAATTACTTTTGTGGGTTGAGCGGAGCATTTTAGTTTTTACCGTGTTGTAGGGGTAATGTATCGCTGTTTTCAGAAATTTAATTTGAAATTCAAAAAGAAGAAGCACCAATGGTGTTACAGGGAGTCCTATTTGCCATATTGTATGTTACAGCGGTCCCACCAATCTCCCTGTAGGATGCTTGGTCAAGCATGGTACGCGCCAAAAACAAACAAAGATATTGTTTTCAGTGTTACCATATTTAAATTGTTGCTGGAGTTTGGTAGGACAGCCAGACGGTATTTTGAGTAGTTGAAGTCAAGCAAAGAAATCAGTGCTCTGTTCGATAGAAATTTACACTGAAGGTCCCTAATTCATGGGAAATGTTTTCGGATGTGACTATCAGCTAAAAGATGAGCATGTATGAGGATGGCTGAAGAAAGTTGAAAAAATGTTTTTTATTTGCATTCCACTGAAACCTGATGAATCGGCTCTTGTTAGTTCTCGTTGTGAGGTATTAGCAACGCTATATCTGTTTTACTTCACTCAACCGCTGCAGTCTGCTGTATAGTTTCTCACAGTGTGTAATAAACAGCAACAAGTGAGCTCAAACTAATAACTATACAGGTTTATATGTTTTTAGCTAATATTGAACATTGTCTAAGATTCTTGAAAATTTAACCCGAGAACTTTTCTTTGTCGTACAAAATTGTGTAGAACCTTGATAGTGTCATTTTTTAAGTTCAAGCTAAATTTGAGTCGTATGTTCTGATTGCATTTGCTTCCACCACCAGGTACTTGCAAAGGAATTGTAGTCAGCACGGGAGATCGCACCGTCATGGGGCGGATTGCGAATTTGGCTTCTGGTCTTCAAATCGGTCAGACGCCTATTAGCAAAGAAATCAGTCATTTCATCCACATAATTACCAGTGTGGCTGTGTTCTTGGGTGTATCGTTCTTTGTCATCGCTATGTGTCTTGGCTACCATTGGTTGGATGCCGTGATCTTCCTCATCGGTATAATTGTGGCTAACGTTCCCGAAGGTCTTCTTGCCACCGTTACAGTAAGTGGAATTACGATTACATGTTACTCTACGTTGTTTACTGAAAATTTGGCGTTATGAAGCTCTGGTGCATCATAAGCTGGATAACTGTGTATTATTATAGTATATTTCGTACTTGTCCTAAACAAGACTGATATCCAAGCAGACCAGGATAAAATAATCTTCATAACATGATTTGATTGTAAGCAAAATACCGCCAGTCTGATCAGACTAAAGGTGAATTTCTTGAGAGATTAACTACCAGAGCCTTCGGCTATGCAAAACATAACCGACAAGTTAGCGGGGCATGAAGATTGCAGTCCACTGCCGGTCCTTGTCCAGCTCATCGGATAATACACCCTTCGTATGGGGTAGACGTCTAAGGTGCCTAATACACCTCGATGACAAAATATTGTAAATTGGTTCTCGTAGCTCGGGTGAACTGAATTCCATTTTACCTGTTCGCCGAGCTTGGCAATTTGCTTGTAAACGTTTCATCGCCAGCCGAGGTGACTTCACAAGCCCTGATGATGTCACCTCGGCTGATGATGAAACGTTTGCAAACAAATTGCCAAGCTCGGCGAACAGACGAAATGGAACACCTCGATGACTAAGCAAGCTGGTGACCACTACCAGAGCCAGGAAGTTGAGGACGTGGTTCCTACTCCCCTCCATAGTTGGTTTGAAAGTAGTTTTTGATCGTTAATATGCAGGTAGCAAGTTGAAGCAGGAGTTCAGTCAAGGATGAGGATTGTTTGAAACTCCATGGGTTGAGCCTCAGTGTAATCTTGAACAGATCATGATTGCCAGTTGCGTCCACAAGTTCTCCACTGCGTCTAAAATGAATATTTCTCCAATGCTGACAGCCAGTTTTCTTTACTTAATAGCAGTCGATAAGTATTTGAACCAGTTGGTTTACCCTATTGTTTTACAATAACGTATATTAATGTGCCTAGCTAAACCATACCCAATCTGTTATCTGATCGAGTGAGCTAAGCAGCGATAACCAAATGCGCGCTACATTGCTAGGTAATGTTTTCGTCAATTGAACTGTTTGGCACTGGTAAACGAACATGATCTAAACAAAACAAATGAGGTTTTTGACATTTAATTGCTGAAAATTCATCCTATTGAGTTCATGAAGCTTAACTTGATTTGACTTGACTATCATTGATTTTAGCTGTTTTTTTGTCGCCGTAGGAAGGTACTACTGTTCGTATCAATTAGAAAACCGTTCATCCATTTACCGTTTGCTGTCTCCATCATTTTGATATCATATTCATCTACGGGTCTGATTAATCTCGCAGTCTGCCTATTTAAATACCGGCTAACTTGGAGTATTGACAATTTTTCCTTACCTTTTATGTAGGTCTGCCTAACGTTGACTGCCAAACGAATGGCCAGCAAGAACTGCTTGGTTAAAAATTTGGAGGCTGTTGAGACTCTGGGTTCAACCAGCACCATTTGCTCAGATAAAACGGGTACTTTGACGCAAAATCGAATGACAGTGGCTCACATGTGGTTTGATAACAAGATTTATGATGCAGATACTACCGATGATCAATCAAGTAAGTGTTGTAGACGTCACGGAGATTTCATTTATTTGCACGTTTTTGTTGGATTAAAATCAAAGTTTATAACTGACATACTGGGGGATAAAAGCTGCGATCCATTTGCTAAATAGTTTTACCGTTATTCTCTGAGTGACCTTGCGCAATGATTACCAGCACATGGAATTCCGATCCTTAATCGTAAAATCATAGATGATTTGATGGCCGATTACCGAAAAAGCGAAACAGTTCTGGTTAGAACGAGGAATTTTTCTCAAATGTGAAAGGGTTTGGTTACAAAGATTGGGATATCTTTAAGAATAACGGTATCAGAGTTTTGCTGGAGAACTTATTTTTCCTCATTCTCACCTTGAATACTTGTGTTGCTCAGTCTTCTGTTTGAAGATATAATTTCGTAATATAAAAAACGAGAATTCGCCATCAAACTTAGCAGGATAACCCATCTTTTGATTGTTTTAAGCATACTTTCACTGTTTTGCTTTATAGTTGCAAACTACGACAAAAATTCTCCAACATGGATGGCTTTAGCTCGTGTTGCCATGCTGTGCAATCGCGCTGAATTCAAAGCTGGGGAAGAAAACAAACCTGTATTGAAGCGTGAATGTAATGGCGATGCTTCGGAATCGGCACTGTTAAAATGCGTAGAGCTTTCGTTTGGCGGAGTAACTGATTACCGCCGCAAGAATCCTAAAGTTGCTGAAATCCCGTTCAACTCTACCAACAAATATCAGGTAATAATCTCACACAACATTGTTTCCAGTAAAATCGGTAAATCTAAATTCTAAGTTTTTTTTTCGATTCTTAGCCCTATGTTTTTTTTACAGATAAGATAGTTGTTTGGAAACTTACCAATTTGAATATGAAAAACATTCAAATCTTTGTAAATCGGACGTGTATTTAAAAAAAAACTATGATTGTCTATCTATCCGATAAGAAATCAGGCAATTTATCCCCAGTTCAAACGTTAATAACGAAGTGTCTGAACTTAATCATCCATTTCCCTCGATTTTCAGTTGTCAATTCACGAAACCAGCGATGGAGATGACCGTTATTTAATTGTCATGAAAGGGGCACCTGAGAGAATATTGGATCGTTGCGGCAGTATCCTGTTGAATGGTAAAGAGGAGCCAATGACTGATGAAATGCGGGATCAATTCAACAACGCTTACCTTGACTTGGGTGGAATGGGAGAGCGTGTTTTGGGTTTCTGTGATCTACGTCTTCCCAAAGAAACCTATCCGAAGTAAGTACAACGAAGTGCGCGTTTCTGTAAGAATCTAACTAACAGTAATCCTATTTTTTACTACTTTAGTGGAAGTCAGTGGTTGCCTAGGCCCCCTTTGTGGGACGGTACTTGGGAAGTTGTTTATTTTGTTACATTCCTTGTTAAGGATTATAACCTCATTATACTACGAGTGAAATAATTAGGTTTATTGTTTATGTGGTTTAGTCCTCACATGCTCTTGGCATTACTTAGTTGCTGACCTGTATTTTTTGATTTACGTGAGAAAAGTCCGTTCGAGTAGGCTTCGAAGAAGGCTAAAAGTTTAACTCACAACTCTCAGTTGTCGGTGAGGTCTTGTGTTCCCCAGTTAACTCATAATAGGGCACTCACATTGATTGTATAAAAAAGAATGTTGGCTCCGACAGATACGTACTCTTACTCATTTCTGCTACTTGTCGTATGAATGCTTTTATTTTGTATTCGTGGACCATTCGCATGACATCGTGCACAGAATGGAATTGTCGTTCTGCCGGCTGTTGCCACTGGCTATTACCTTAAGCGCATGCATGAAACAAAATACAATTTATTATTTCCGTACGGCTTAATGGAGAGAACGAGGCGAAGCTGTCTCTCATCACTATTGGACACATCAATTGATCAATTAATTAGCTGTTGAGCCACAAAACAGTAGTTATGAATTCAAGAGACACTATTCTTGCCAATCTCACATCTCGACTGGTCGTAGCCGAAATAGTGCTTGTCATACAAACTGTTGGATGTTTATTGAAACACGTGCTGGGACGATGCAGAACCAAATTCGCATTTGTGATTTAACCTATCAAAGTGTTTGACACTTCGTCTCATGTGCCCCCGCGTACACACGCCTGCAGGTCATAAACATCTCCTTGTGAATGATTGACGTTCGTCTGTCTTAGTTCCTCGAAATACTCGAGGCGCTTAGCCGTGCCACAGGTATTACATATAACAATGAAATAAGCATTGATATCTTGAACTAGTTCTCGTTTACCCTCATGGCTTATCGCAGAGGTTTCGCTTTTAATGTGGACGAACCCAACTTCCCGGTGAGCAACATGCGATTTGTCGGCCTCATGTCCATGATTGATCCTCCTCGTGCGGCTGTCCCTGATGCCGTGGCCAAGTGTCGATCTGCCGGAATCAAGGTGATCATGGTCACAGGTGACCATCCTATCACGGCTAAAGCAATCGCCAAAGGTGTTGGTATCATTTCGGAAGGTACAAAAACTGTAGATGATATTGCTGCTGAAAGAGGTATTCCAGTCCGCCAAGTAAGTGATAAAATTTGAGGTCTACACGTGATTTAATATCATTGGTCTTATTTCGAGTTTTGTAAGAAGTGGTCGTCGTATTTTGGGTTGATACAATATGAACGTTTAATTGAATCAAAAATACGCATAGGGGTTTGTGCGCCGATATACAGGGCTATAACGGGATTGGTGAACCACTGGTAGTTCACCTAGGGGAGTTGGCCAAAAACCCTGATTCCGAACCAACCATGAAGAGGCGTACAAACCACACGCACACCTTCCTGGTTGTGGCAGTGGTCACCGGATCGATTGGGCATTGAAGTTTATTGGGCACCTTGGACGATTGGTCCCGTCCAAAGGGCGTATGATCCGATCAACTGGATATCGGCTCCCAATGGACTGCGGTTTTTACACCGCCCCGCTGCCTTGCGTGTTAGGTTTTGGCTGGCTGAAGGCTCCGGTTGTGAATTCCTCAAGAAAATTGACCTGCCTTGGCCTGGGCATCCTGGCACTATTCCACGCACATGCCAATCATGGAACGCTTTTCTCTTTTCTAAAGATTATTGTACAATGATTTGTTTGGCACACAGTTTGTCCCCAGACAAGTGTGAAATATAATAATAATAATCTTAATGTAATTGTGAAAAGCCAAGAGCCTCCGTGGAATTCGAGTAAAAAAGCTGGACACATTTTCTTGCTGTGGCACACGAGAAAGTGAAATAGTATAAAAGCTATATTTAATTTCTTGATTTATAGGACGGGTTAAGATTTATTGATAATTTTTTTATTTCGGTAGAAAGCGATTACTCTATCCTGTATTTTTACCCCTCCTTTTATGCATTGTTAATCACTGTTGCTCTTGCTGTTTAAAATTTTAAATCTCTAAGAAATTTGTAGAGTAGTATTCCTATTCTAGCGGGGCCTTGTTTGGTTCGCTACTCTAAGGCCCGGGACTCAGGCTGCCGTTTTCCATCACTGAATAGCAGGTCTACGCGACTATGGGGTCTGTTGTTCTGTTCACAAAAAATTGTTTGTCATAAAAAGGGCAATATTCACTTTTTGTTTTGATTAGTTTGTCTTTGATCTGGTACCAAACATTAGAGCTGGCCAATTTCGATAGAGTTGTTAACCCACTGGTTCGGAGAAATGAGAAATATCTGGTTACCCTCTTGTAGTTTATATTCATTGTGTCATTACCGTTAACATAATCATATGATCGTTGTGCGAACATGGTGTTGAATCCAGATGTTTTGTCTGGTCTCTGTTATAAGTACTGCTTCACAACTGCATGAATAAGTTTCATTCTCTTTTTGAAACTGTGACGTAAGATTTCTCTCCGAAATCCAAGCTTTTTTGTATTATTTTCTGAACACAGGTAAATCCGCGAGATGCAAAGGCATGTGTTATCCATGGGACTGATTTGCGTGACATGACTCCAGCTCAAATCGATGAAATTTTGGTTAATCACAGTGAAATTGTGTTTGCCCGAACTAGTCCTCAACAGAAGCTGATCATCGTGGAAGGTTGTCAACGCCAGGGTGCAATTGTTGCCGTCACCGGAGATGGTGTCAATGATAGTCCCGCCTTGAAACAAGCTGATATCGGTAAGTGGCTTAAATGATATAAACTACCAGTTTTCGTAACATTAATTAATCAGCTAGGCAATTGGCGGGTGTAAAAGGTCGATGGTAGTTCTAAATTTATTTTCTGTCTATTGGCACTGAACCTGCCTTGTTCTACAACAGGTCACTTAATCAGTACGATAAACGAAAGTTGAATCATCACATTGCTGTTTCCCTTTGAAATGTTTTTATTCATTGTCCATTAATCATCAATCAAGAGCTGGAGAAAATCGTTTTCCTATTGTTTCATAAGGTTTGGCATTGGTTCTGCCAAACAGATAGTTCAGACGTTGGGACAAGGAAGCTGTTCCCATTTAAGTGTTGTTGATTGTCTTATCAACTGTAGTATTTAATGTCACTTTGGATGCGATCATTTCCCGTCATTTATACAGTTTACAGGGCTCTATGACTCGTACCTAGCTGATGTCTTATTCCAGGTTTTCTTCTTGGTTGGTTTGAAATATAGCAGCAATAACCAAAACAGTGAAGCGTAAGATTACTATCTGTTTTAACTGCAACAGCTTTGGTTAATTTCGCCATTTTTATGCCTTACAGGAGTTGCCATGGGTATTGCAGGAAGTGATGTCAGTAAACAAGCTGCCGATATGATCTTGTTGGATGATAACTTCGCTTCTATTGTCACTGGAGTAGAAGAGGGCCGAATTATTTTCGACAATCTGAAAAAGTCCATTGCCTATACTTTGACCTCTAACATTCCGGAAATCACACCTTTCCTCGTCTACATCTTGGCTGACGTTCCACTTCCATTGGGTACAATTACCATTCTGTGCATCGACTTGGGGACCGATATGGTGAGTTTTTATTTATTTATCTCCCGTGTCGCACTTTTTATTGTTTTTCCATCCCGAGTTCCAGGTGCATTCGATTGATGTTTTCATTCTTTCTACTGCTTTACCAAATCAATCTATGCATCAAAGAAGGGGAGAGCAAAATCATACATCGAAGAAGTCATGTTTGACAACATAATTCATGCGATCTACCAAAACAGAATGAATCCTAGCATCGCATAATTAAACGACAGAGATGTTTCAGAAGTGTATGCATAGGACATGCTGTCTTCTCTAACTTATCTGTAGAATTGTTTGAAATATGTCAGAAGAGAATAAGTGCTTTGTCGCCTTCCTGGTTGTCCTCTGTAAGCAACAGCTGCAAAGTTCAGTTCCCTTAGAACTTAAGCACAATCTCCATCATAAGTATTTTCCGAAAACTTTTCTTGGTCTAGTAAGTCCAAACACTTCCTTTGCTGATAGTATATTTTGTTTTTGTCTCTCTTCTGATGACTTATGCATTCCTTTACAGGTGCCTGCTATTTCACTGGCTTACGAGGAAGCTGAGGCTGATATCATGAAACGTATGCCACGCGATCCACTGCGGGACAAACTTGTCAATGAACGGTTGATTTCTATGGCTTACGGTCAGATCGGTATGATTCAGGCATCTGGCGGATTCTTTGTTTACTTCGTTATCATGGCTGAGAATGGTTTTACTCCAACGCGATTGCTAGGTATTCGTGAGGCCTGGGACTCTAAGGCCGTCAGCGATTTACCGGACTCGTATGGACAAGAATGGGTATGTTTATGCACTTGCAGCTTGTAATAATAAATCGGTCTTATTACTCAAGTTATTCCTAATGATACGATTGATTTTTTTTTCATTTTTAGGACATGGGCAGAGTAGATCAAGATTGTTTGAATACGTTGGCATTTTCGTCTTTTCTACTGTTTTTTTATATTGAACCCGGATGATATGGCAATGTTAGTGATTCTCCCTGTTGTAGTACTAATATTGTAAGCCGTTTTTGGAGTAAAGCTCGCCTTTGTTCATTTTCTAAAAGTGACGTGAAGTTTTCGGAAGAGGCCACTCTATTAGTCACCAATCATTAGCGGAATTTTACTTGATGACTGCACTTCTCTTGTCTTTATCTTTCACACCAACCGACTGAATTTATGTCGATCCATCCACAGGCAACTCAGCAATTTCTCGTTGTATCCTGTTCCGCTGTTGCCTCAAATAACGGAGGAAAAACTGCAGATAATTCTTCATTATTTCCGTTGTTTGGTTTTTCGTAGTTTGCAGAAATAAGTGTGTGCATCGCGATGGAAATGTGAGCGTTCAAAATATAAAAAATACCACAATACAACATGGTGCGACTATTCCTCGATCTGGGGTTTTACTTTGGTTTACAAGATATATGATAGAAAAGGCATACACACGTCTGTCTCTCTCTCTAGATGCTTATTCCACCTAATAGAGTCCAAGCCTGCTGTCGGTTCGTCTTCAAATAAATCTACATCATTTTAGGAACATATAAACATTTCTAGGTCAAGTCAGTACCCATTACTTTCACCCCCCGAATAATTTACCCTCCGCTTTGCAACACTTACACAAAAACCGTGAATGCACACTATCGCTTCAGTTCGACTACGTTGTATCTTGTCTGATTACGGAAGAACTGAAATCTGCCAGCTGAAAATTTTTGTGTTCGATGCTGTGTTTCTCATCAGGTGATTGTTTCCCTCTGCAACATTTGGGTTTTCTCGCAGCGAATCACGAACGATATTTCAAAAGTAGTCATGCATATGCGGAAAAGGTGGAAGCTTTCAGGTGATTCCTGCGTTCACATAACTTACCTTCTGCTACAAAGAGATATTACCCTAGTTAATTTGTCATTAAGTGTCAATTTTTCCCTAAGTTTCTGTTGTCTCATCTGTTACGGATTGTCTTTTCTGGGCTACCGTTCGCTTTTAAGCTTAACCTTCGCCACCTTTTGCTCCAAATGCTGGTTAAAACTTGGACTTCATGCTTTTACTTGGTTTGTCAAGGCTCTCTTTTCTTTTTTCTATAGACCTACCAGCAACGCAAGGATCTAGAGTACACGTGTCACACTGCGTTCTTCGCCTCTATTGTGATAGTGCAGTGGGCTGATTTGATGATTTGCAAAACCAG